TTCAACTGTTCTACTTAACCTCTCTTCCAGCCAGTTTAGTGTTTCTGTTTTAATATTTAGATCTTTAATCCATTTTGATTTTAGTTTAGTGCATGGTAAGAGATATAGATCTAGTTTTAATCTTTGGTAGGTTGAAACCCAGTTTTTCCAGCACCATTTATTAAAGAGGCTATCTTTCCTCCACTGAGGGTGTTTGGCTCCTTTTTCAAAGATGAGGTGGCTGAGTGTGTCTGGAGTTGTTTCTGCATCTTCTAATCTGTTCCACTGGTCCTCGGATCTGTCTTTGCCACAGTGTCTTTTATCACAGTAGCTTTGTACTAGAGTTTCAAGTTGGGGATGGTGATATCCCCTCCCTTGTCTTTATTGCCTAGAACTGCTCTTGCTATTCTAGGTCTCTTCTTATTCCAAATGAATTTTTGGTTTGTTTTCTCAAGGTCTGTGATATATGCTGCTGGGATTTCAATTGGGATTGCACTGAATCTATATAGCAGTTTTGGAAGTATGGCCATTTTCACTATGTTGATTCTTCCTACCTAGGAGCAAGGGATGTCTTTCTATTTTCTGATGTCCTCTTCAATGTCTTCTTTCAGAGTGCTGTAGTTTTTAGAGTAGAAGTCTTTGATTTGTTAGGTTGATTCCTAGGTATTTCAACTTCTTGAGTGCTATTGTGAAAGGAATTGTTTGCCCAATTTCTCTCTCAGTGAGGAATGTCCATTATGATTTCAGTAGTGGTTGTACCAGTTTGCATTCCTGCCAACAATGTAGTAGTGTTCCCCATCCCTACCCTCAGCTTGAGCAGCATTTGTTATTAAGTTCTGTCATCTTGAGCTACTGGGTTAACTTTTAGTATCTGTTTTTCCATCTGTGAAATGGGCAAGTACCTCCCTTACAGTGTAATTTAGAGGATTAAATGAGATTTATATGTATAACACTTAAAATATGCTATGGGATCATTTTCAAAATATCCTTAGAAGAATATACTGAGTAACTAAAAAGCAGAAAAAGACCCTGAAATAAGACACAAATATAAGTGTAGGGGACACTGCACTTGGCAACTATAAGACAACATCACTCACAGCAAAACAAAAGCAAAAACAATCTGTGTTTCCCTAGACTCACATTCTGGAGGGGGAGACCTTCCATAAAGCTTACGAGTAAGTCAAACTGGAGATGTTTGTGTAACACTGCTGATATTAGGAAACGGATAGAAAGAGAAAAGTAATGGGGTGCAGGGGGTGCCGCTTTAGAGGGGTCTCACCTTGCTGAGAAAGATCCCTAGAGTGAAATGTTGCATGAGGGAGGGAACCGGAAGTGAGCCAGGCCACGGGGAGGGGCGGGGAGGTATGTGGCAGACGGAGACAATAGCCAGAGCCGTGGCCCTCACTTACTCCTTCAGTGCGTTAATTTAAAAATAAAGTTTTTGGCCCCTTTGTCAAAAATCAGATCTTCTGGCTGGGGATTTAGCTCAGCGGCACTGCGCCCACCCCACAAACACAAGGTCCTGAGTTTGATCCCCGGTACTAAACAAACGAACAAACAAACGAACAAACAAACAACCCAACGACACAAAACAAGATAAGAAAAGATCAGATCTTCTATGAGAAACCCAAAGTATAAATAATTTTTTTAATAAATTTAAAAATAGGTAAGAGGAAACACGAAACTAGATCTTTTGCAAATGGGAAGGGGATGCAGAGATGGAGGGAGAGACGGGGAAAGGAAATAAAAAGAAGAAGGTATGTTAAGTACATGTACCAAGACCCTAAGATGAATGTAAATTATGTACTGCAGACGTATACCAGTAAAAAACTTAAAATAAAAATTAGATTATCAAGCTCCCTCCCTGTCAGGTGATGCATCTCTTCACTAAAATTCCTGTTACAAAAGGTTCCCATTAGTACTATTTTAATATTATCAAGTGAGTAAGTGAATCAAAAGGCAGGACCTTACTATTTGAACAAGTATTTACTGCTGGTAGCTCAGGATACTGTGTTTTTCCTCTTAGCATTTCTTTGTGACCACTGTATCTTCATAGAGAACACAGATGAAATCTGTAGACGGAGGATAGGAATCTGCCCCTGCGCCTCCTTTAGTTTTCCAAGCTGGTGCCATGGAAAGATATGAATGGTGGAGCTGGTATTTCCTCTCCCAGTGCACGTCTGACTCCCCCACCACCATAATAGGTAGTAAAGGGAGTAAAGGTCTCTAGTTTATACTTAGCCTGCTCTTCTTTGATCACACAGGGACATTTATTTTTACAGGTCAGAGAGTAGTACACTGCAGTATGCAGCCCACAGTGTTTTGGTTATTGTGTCTTTTATTTTCAAGTAACAGGAAGACATTTATTTTTTAAAATATTTAAAGTTAACTTTGGAATTTCAAAATGCTGGGGCTTTCTGGTTTGTTGCTCTGAACTCCTCACAATGTTGTTCATGCTGAAAAACTCTCTGAGAGCGGAAAGAGAGTCCCAACTGTGTGTCTTCAAGGGTTTGGTGATGCAACTGCTACAACTTTAAATGTTTCAATTATCAAGACATACCATGCAGGCCTGCACCCTTAGGGATGAGATGAGAGCTGTTCAGCTGAGTCTAGTAAAAGGATTATTTGGTAACTGAGAGCAGTGAGTTCCACTTTCAGGGGAACTTCCATTCTCCCGGCTGTGGCACTGACGTTTAGTTCCGCATCACCTAAAGAACCACGGTAGCGACACAAAAGACCCAGTTCTGCTGATAAAGCTGAAGGCTCCCCATTGCTAGCTACACAGCCAGTCAGAGAATTTATGGGCAAGAGAGCAACTGAAGGATGGCGTGGTTTCAGATTGCCAAGATAAGCACTGTGATCATAAGGGTGGCTTTGAAGACATCCATAGCGACAGCTCACTCCACACCTGGATGCCTTCTACCGAAGGGCCTTATTTCTAAAACAGCTTTTCAATCTCACGTTGTGCGAAGAGCAATGCAATGTCCAGATCAAAGTAAAAACCGTGTATCAGAACTTGGCACGGGCAAAATCAGTTTAGAATCCTCAGGGTTTGGTTCTGGCCCAACTGATCAGACAGGCATTGAGAGGGTGGGAAAGATACGGAAGAGGGCACCGAAATGGTGAGGGGCCAGGTGTGCTGTTGTCTTCCTGCCTTTCTTGGCCTTCTCTTTTATGCTTATGCTTTCCTTTATGTTCCACACGTGCACCCGTCTTCCCTGTACTCTCTGAAATCCAGACATCCCGTGTGATTCTCAGCACCATCCTTCTTGAGAGTTACCTAGAGTGGACAACTCAATAGCATCGGCCCTAGCACCACCACCAAAGATCAGAGATCTGACCTAGATGTGTGTGGAGATGTCCGTCCCAGGGCCACTGCCTGGGCGTGTAAGATGTTCGTCCCTAACCTCATTAGCATTTACCGTGTCCTGACACTGCCTCGAGTGTCTTGCATACTCAAATTAATCCAGGAAATGAATAATGTTACCGTCCTCATTTTAGAGATGAGGAAGAGGGGACTCCAGGAGGCAAAATAGTTTGTCCTCGAAAAACCTCAGCAGTCTGACAGGTCTTTACCATCCCCTGGGTAAATCTGAACTTTGCTGGCTCTGTGGGTGCAGCAACAGAGACAGCAGGCAGTGGTGGTGGTGAGGGGAGAGTAGACAGGAAAAGTCTGCTCTGCTAGGAAAAGTGTGCCCGAGAAGGGCACAAAGGAGGTGGATAAAGGAAGAAGACAAAGGCTGTGGTAGGAGAAAGGGCCACAGTGGTGGATATCCATGGAACTTCATGCAGCCTTTTAAAAATTTGTTAAAATTTGATATCCTGTGATATTCTTATTGTTGGTAGGCTGCAAAATTGCTTCCTACAGTCTGTCTTCCTTTGTGACTGCCATGAAGAGACGTCTCGGTTTATGGTGAGTTTGGGGACTGCCTTCAATGCAGTGAAGCTTTTCACACTCCAGCGGCCCTTCCTAAAAATAAGGGTTCGGTTTATTTCTAAACAAGTACGCGTGCTTCTCTGTCTCTCTTGTTTTGCTTTGGGATTGAACTGGGTGGCTCTGTGCGTGCACAGGCAAGAGCTGGAGTCCATACTCTTAAGTGAAATGAACGGGACACACATGTGTAAATATCACATTGTTTCTCTGGTGAGAGAAACTTAGAGTGTAAAAAAGGGCCAAAATGTGTAACAGATAATGTGAAACAGGGAGAAAATGTTCAAACGGGAAGGGGCACTAAAGAGGAGGAGAGGAAGAAAGGAAGCGAAAGGGGAAAAACAACAAGAAAAGAAAAAACAGAAAGCTTTTATAAATAAGGAGAGGAAAAGGGTTGAAGGGAGGGGAGGGGAATGGGAAAAAATGAGAATTAGATATATCATGTACACGTACAAATTCGGTATGATGAATGCGATCATGTATATCTAAATTGTAGCAATAAACTTAATGGATAGAAAAAGATGGGTCTGATTCCTATTCCCTACTGCTAGAAAATGTCTATTTGGAGTAGAAAGTCAGAAGACAGGCTGCTGAATTTGCGGTCTCAGTTTTGTAATGGCATAATTAAAAAAGAAAAAAAACACATGCATTTTTCATCTACGCATTTCCCCTCCAGATCTAGCCCCTGCCTGTGCTGTGCCTGAGGGACTGCAGCACCAATGGCCCCTCATGCTCTGATGTGGTGAAGGGAGAGCAGGGTGGAAGACCAGGGAAAGAGGAGTTGATGCCTCAGGACCCGTTCCCTCAGGCCGCCTCCTCCTGGTGGTGAGCCCAGGCCCTGTTTCTCTGCTCCAGGCCCCAGCTCCTGCAGGATGGCATCTCTGTCAGCTCTCCAGCTCCCAGCCTGGCTCCCTCCCTGCCCCTCCAAGCTAAGGAGGGTAACAGCCCCATCACCCTTTTTACTCATTTCCTTACCCCTACTGGACTCCTCCTTGATGGACTTGGCTCTGTAGATTTCTAAAAATGAAATAGAGAATTAAACCACTGAAACTGGCCTTTAATAATACATAATTTTACAGGAAATAAAAATATGTAATTCCAGGGAATTCGTTTACAAATTTTAAAAATCACAAATGCTAACGGCGGGGGGTAACTTTATTAAAACAGTAGTGCCCGGTACACATCCTTGGTCCATGTATGAAGTAGACTGTAGCTTTTGTGAACTGCCAAAATGGTTTTTCCTTCCCTAGGGTGTATTTCAGGTCAATTTTTTAAAATCAGTTGCACTGCAGTCAAGTGATTGAAAGTCTAAGTACATTCAGCGAGGGAGTGCAATGGAGATGGATACAGGCAGCTTGGTCATCAACACCCAAGCAGCAACTCTGCCTGAAAGAGGAGGCCTTGGAAGCCCCAGTGGGAAAATCTGCATTTGCAGAGAGGAATGTGTCTCTGTCTCTTTGTGAATGGCTCAAGTACAGGACCTCCCTAAATTCGGAAAACCATTAGATTTGGCTTAAGCTAAGTGAAATAAACAAACCTTGGCTTAAGTCAGAGCTAATTGTCTTCCTCTGCCTTTCAAAGTCATCAAACTCTAAACCAGCACGTGTTGTTTTTCTCTTAGTTCCAATCAGAGGCGTCTTGACAAGAGCCCCTCCTCCAAAGTGCACTGACATCGCAGCTGGGGACGCCCTGAATTATGCCGAGAATGTAGAGATGTGGATGCGGCCTCCCTGTCCTCGCGGGCCGCCTGCAGGTCTGGGGACAGACAGTGCTGCTTCTCCAGCTTTGGTCAGGCTCTAGGCTGCCACGGGCCCAGAACACTGGCAGTCAGGCTTTCTGCAGGCTTTCTATAGCTTTCAGATCTTTGGAGACTCAAGGCCACAATTTAGCACCAGACTATCCCAATTCTTTCTTGGAAAAGGTGATTAGGGCCATAGCGAGCTACCTAGGAACAACTGAGCTTGGAACAGACATCTGGGATCTATTCAGGGCACCTAAAATGGAGGCCGGCATTCTCAGGTGAAAATTCCTTTTAGTTTTCTCCCTTTGAATCCTATTGACTGTGGGAGGCAAAGAATAAAATCTAGATCTTCTTTTATCACAGTGTACTTCTTGAATGTATTAGGATAAGCACTGTTTCTCTTATTTACCTTGAAATCAATAATCTTAGCAGGTATGGCTGATGTGATAGAATTTTTTTTTTGTACCAGGGATCGAACTCAGGACTTTTGCTTCTGAGGCAGGCAGCGGCACCACTGAGCTAAATCTCCGGCCCTGATAGGATTTTTACAAAGGAAAATTTTACACCTCACCTAAGTTACCTTTAAAGTGCCCTTAATGATAAGTGATGGACCACTGCATAGGATTTTTACTTTCAGTTTCTTCTATGTCTGTACTGATGCAAATAAAGTTCAGTTAGTTACTGAACATACTCAAAGGAACTAGGACACACGAGGACACAAGTTCTAGAAATCTACTAATTCTTAATTAAATGACTTAAATTCTTCTGTTCAAGGCTCTCATGGTAAATCTTGCTCCTACTAGTGATATTATGTCCAGTGTTTTTAAATTCTCAGACATTATTCTGGAATTTTGGGGGCAGTGAAGGATTGTAGGTAAACATTTTCATTCTGAGATTTTAAAAGTCATCTGATAGAAGGAATCAATCTTCCAGATTCAAAGTAACTTCAGAATTTTATGTTTAGGAATTACCCATGGGCCTAATTAGTCTTGTTTAGAATAAAATTTTAATGTTAGAATGCCTGTTCGAATGTCATTTAATGTTAGACTGGGAAGATTTATTTTTCTGTCTAGATTTCAGTAAAGTTAAAGTTTGCCTGGCTTGTTTAGATTTGTACAAATGCAGGTCATTTATTTATTCTTTTTAAAGTAAGTGCTGATTTGACATAGATTGCTTGTGTCAGAATACTATGATATCTAGATTGGTTTGGAGTCATGTTAAGCGACCATCTAGTTTGATAGCTAATTATAGGAAATAGTTTTGAGTAAATAATCCACTGAGACTTGGGAAAACACTAACATCCTCTTTTTTAAATAACACTCATAATAGCACTCCGCAAAAAAAAAAAATAAAGTGGTTCTACTATTTTAAAGATCATGCTGGAAGACTGAAAACTGATAGAAAAACTTGCAATACCGAGTACTCTATTGCACATTTTATACTCTAATTTTTGATGCAGTCACACTTTAGAAACCTGCCAGTTTGGCTGTAGGAGGGCGGCTCAGGGGCAGAGATCTTCTTTAGTAGGTGTCAGGCCCTAGGTTCATCCTTCAGTTGCCAACAAAACCAAACCAAACCAAACCAAAACCAAAACACTTGCCGCATCACATCTAACATTTCCACTCTTATCTCGTTTAAAATTGTAAAATGTTATTGGAGGAGTTCATCCAAGATTCCATTTTTAAACTTTGTTTTAGGGTTTCTTTTTGTAACACTGCACATGAGTTTACACAGTCACTGTGATTAAACTGTGTAAATTTGCCGAAATATTTTGGTGCTGAGTATACACTATGGCAAACATTTAGAAATATATTAAGATATGACTCACTGTTACGTGATTTCTTATATCATATGAGTCAAACCATGTTCCCTAAATAAAAGCACAGACAGATGAATTTTGCTGCAACAGTCATCTTAAAAAGTATATTTTAGTCATGGCCTTAATATCAACTCAAAAGAGCTCCAGGATATATGAAGAATGGACTAAAATTTTCAATTTTTAATCCTGATACTTGGCTTCAAAAGCCAATATACATCCTCCCCTAGAAATAGAATGAAGAGTATTAATCAGAATTAACTGTCTTAACAGCCTTTTTATTATTTCTTTTTGAGAAGAAAATCCCTACAACCTTCTCGATTAATATCAGTACAGTAGATATTAGGAAATAAATAACTGGACGGACAATCAGACACAGAATTCCTAAAGGGCGGGTGTAACAACCTGACACTAACCAATGGAGTCTGTCCTGAAAAAAGTACTAGTGACCAAGGGCGGGGGGGTTTGGCTCAGTGGTTGTGCTACCTGCCTCGGAAGGGCAAGAGCCTGAGTTTGATCCCTGGTACCAAACAAAACAAAACAAAACAAAAAAGAGCAATAGTGACCAGAGTGTGGTCCCACAGCTGCATACATAACAGTACAAGGTGCTAATGACTTCTGACATCACTGTCCAAACAAAGCATCCCTTAGGCAATTACAACACAGCAGCTTCTGCATGTTTTTTGGTTTTTTGTTTTTGTTTTTGTTTTGTTTTTTGGTACTGGGAATCGAACTTGGAACTTTGCATTTGTGAGGGAGGCGGTGGAAGCACTGAGCCAATCCCCAGCCCTTCTGCATGTTGATCTCCTAGAGAAGACACATGAGTTTCACTTGGTCTGACTCTACACTGTTTATAATAGCAGCAGGGTAGACATTAACACAGGAGAGACAGTAACTCTGCAGGGTGTTATGCAAACTACACACCATCTTTGTCATGGAACAGGAAAGCTCACAGCAAAAGGCCACTGGGTCAGTCGAGGCGAGGTTCTGCAGATGCCTCTGTGAAGTATCGCATCAGCACTCCTGTAACCCAAACCACTGTGGAACATTTAATAGGGCAGTTTCGTTCTGTTTATATGCTAGCCTTTTACATTTCTCCAAGGAGCCACTTCCAAAGGATCCCCCAGATGCTGCATAGCAAAGTGCATCCTCACAACTGTCCACAAAGTTCACCCTGCTTACTAGCATTGGACTTCGTAGAACAGGAAGTCTGTGTTACATCTTGTGTCCTTAACGGGGTCTGACAACACAGGACAGAACGCACGAGTCTCAGAACAGAAGGCCTGAGGATGACAAAGACCCAAGGGTCAATTATTGAATTAATTGATAAAAATCTAAGTGCTTGGAGGTCCCACTTTTTCTTCCGGGAAGAGGTTTCATTCATATATGCAAAGATCTGTAAGAAACAAAGGGGAAAAATGATGTTAGTTTGGCCAAGCTTACGTCCTATGCTTGTTCCTGAAATCTAAGCACATTTTCTGTTGGTAGCAGTACTCAAGGGGGTGGGTAGCAAAACCTCCTCCTTTTTCCAGACGTAAATCATAACATAATAAATGTATTTTTCCCTTGAACTCAATGCAAGCATGTTTGCTGTAGATTATAGTTAATATTGCCATCATGCATAACTGTCTTGGCTCTGGAAATGGAAAGAAATCAATAACTTTTTCTTGATCCCTAGAATAAAATCTTTAACAGTATCAATAGGAGTAACAATATTACTAGCGTGCATTTTTCAGTAGTCTAATATATGTGTCATGGATTGTACTGGCTACAAAAACTGCTTTCTTACTAGTGCTTTCAAAAAACTCTGAAGCTTGAGTATTGCCTCCTTTTTATGGACGAGAAAGTGACCTTCAGGAATGTTGATAAGACGTGTGACACCATTTCCAAATACCTAACCTGCTTTATTAGTCACAGTTTAGCGAGACAGGGCGAGTAGCACATTTCCATCAGTGGGAGCATGAGTTCTGGCCACCTGGGCTGCTTTGGTTTGAATCATAGCTTTGGATATAGCTTCGGCCTCACAGATAAGAGAACTAATCTTTGTGCCTCAGCTTCCACATCTGTAAAATGGTGATAAAAAGAAGACCTAGCTAGTTTGCAGGGATGCTGGTAGGATGACAGGAAGATACGCTGGCTACTTTAACAGTGCTCATGCAATAAGCAGTCCACAAGGTTAGCTTAGCTGCTATTGTGTCCACTTCAGCAGCAGGGACACCGAAGTGCAGAAAAGTTAGCGACTTTGCCTGAGTATCCAGAGCCCAGTCTTAGTAGTGACTGGGCCAGTAGTGGCCCAGTCAGGACACAACTTCCGACTCTCCCGCCTGTAGGAGAGAAGAGGTTCCCAGAACAATGTCCTAAGCACAGGAGAACCGACACATCTCTACACTGGTGTCAGTGTTTTAAAATCAGTAACCTCACTCTTATCTGATTCCTTAGCTATTTTGGGAGCAGTGTAACTTTTTGATCAGATTGGAAGGAACAGAACAGTACAACTTGATAGAGACGGAACGCTTCCACAGAGTTTATGAAACGGAGGAAAACAAATGTGGCTCAGACCTAGTCATTATGTTTCAGGGACTCTCTGACCAGAGACAGGCTCTGAATTAGGAACCCACCCCCTGTCTCCCCAGCAAAATAAGGAATTTCTTTTCCCTGGTACTTACTCTGCAAGCATCTGAGAACTGGACGTACCAAAGAAATTGCAGGGGGAAGAAAGAGCAGTCATCTTTGGGTTGCTTATGTTAGGACAATAGCAGAAAGGTTTGGCAGCCAGAGGTGTTTATGCCAGAGAATCTTGGCATAGGGAATGGAGAAAAGATTTGGCAAGAGAGCAAGAGAAAAGAAGAACTGATAGTGGGTTTCCCAGATCGCAGAGAAAAGAAAAAAGTTTGGCAGGGATTATGCAACGGAGCAGAAGTTTTCTTGTCAACTGAACTATTGTGAATGTGAAACATACAGTACAATGTATGAAAGCAGTGATTCTGGAGATCAGAAATTCAGGGTAGTGGCGTATAGAAATCTTCTGGATTAAAATATGTGAATCAGTACATCCACACATGTATATGCATGAGTGAGGGCTCTATTACAGAAAAGAAATGTGCAGTGGTTTAGACAGAGAGCACGCTAACACAGAGCTGCCGGCCGAGACAAGGGCAAGGCTCAGGGCTCTGCTGCGGCAGCTCCCACCGCGAAGATGAGTCAGGTTCTCGGCGAAGAGCCCTCCCTCCAGTTCCTGATCACGTTACAGCGTGACAGAGTAATGAGAAGTGAAAGATGGTTATACGGACGAAGCAATTCTTACTGTTTCCTTTCCTTTTCATCCACTACCAAGGGTGATTTTTAAAATCGTTTAAAATATTCATTACAGGCGGTGGCCAATAATTTCTTTCACACTTGAAGTTCTTGATGTAAGCTTTGTCTCCTACCTCCCCATCTCCCTCTTTGGCTCTTGTTTTTTTTATCTTCAGTTTAATACTTGATCTTGTACATCTTGGGTTTGTTTGTTTTTCAACTGTGCTAAAATATACACATCATAAAGTTTATCATTTTAGCTAAGGTGTACAATTCAGTGGCAATAAGTACATTCCTGTTACTGTCAAACTGTGTTGTTTATATTTAAACTTTTCTGTATATAATGATGTTTTGATAGATGAAACATCTTCCTGGCTGGGGACTGACTGCCCCTCCTTGGGCTGGTTGATCCTTCGAGGCAGCAGAGGACTCAGCTGGAGAGTGTCTTGAGAGAGAAGTACTAACCAACCTAGAAACACATCCCACACGCCCAAATTCTTCCACCATAATCATCCCAGGGCCAGGACCTGTAACTAGGGACTGCGCAGCTTTGAACCTGCTGAGGTTTTTTCCAGTAGCCGATCCTAACCTGTCCACCTCATTGCCTATCCGCGCCAGTGAAGGCTGTGGCCCAGGCTCTCCCCTTTCTCCAGCCTCTTCTGCCCACCTGATGCTGTGCTTTCCTACATGGCTCTGCATGGTGCCCCTGCCTTGTTTCCCGAGCCTCTCCCATGTCCCCTCTTGTAAACACACTTGCCTGACTGTAACACGAAAGGACATTGAACAGCAACCATCAGCATCTGTCCCCAAACAAACCCAGCCTGTGACTCAACAGCTGCACATCCTCTTCTCCCTCTGAGTCTAGCTGGTCCTGGGTTTTCAACGAAAGGCCGATGCGGGGACACAGGTGCTGAATAAATGCTGTGTCGGTGAAATCCTGGAATTCAGATTTTGTGTCTGGCGGAATTTGTGTGCTTTGTGTGTATACATCTGATGCATTCACCATGAGAAAAATACCAAGAACTAACGTAAAGGAGTCCAGTGAATTTTAATTCTTTAGGGCAGGCCCTCTCCACAGGGCCTTCTTAACCCACCAAGTGGCACAGGTGAGAATTTGCGCTATTTTAAGGTTGTCCAAAGCAGCTTCTCACAGAGCACTTCATCTAAGCACCGCCCGGGGGCTGTTTATTTAAACTACTTTCCTATCTTTGATGCTATTAGGAAGTGGGCTTGGAAATTCAGAATAAATGAAGATGCTATCTGTTGCAATCATCTAGGGAGCTGTGAAATATTCTGATGCCTCTCTTCCCTTCTCGGAGACTTGAACTTAGTCTGGGCTAAGACAAAGCTTTGGGGCTTTCATAAGCTCCTCTGCTGTGACACTAGTGCGTACCAAGGTGAGGATTTTACCTAAGACCTGAAATGCTTTTAAATATTCATTTATCTCACTTAAAAACCAAAAGACCCACTTTGGCCTGGTCAATCAAAATAGCATCAATTTCTCATTATTCATTTATGATCCAATTTACTTTTGGAAATTTAATCCCACGGAGATAGCAACTAACACTAAACATCACTAGACTTGACATGCTGCTGAGAAACTTAAAAGTCTTATTTTGTTTCATCCTTAGACAGACCTACAAAGTCTTATTATTCCCACTTTAGAGAAGAAGAAACCAAGATCACATCCCAAGCCAGTAGGGAAACCACGACGTCAAATGGAAGAAGTTGGAAACCAAATTTCTCTTTTACCCCACTAAACAATGTACTACCACCTATATAAACAAAGTTCCATGTGAAACTCACAAATGGCTGGCAGAATTATTTGTAGAAGACCTCCCTCCAAAGGCATCGTGATGGCTTGTGGCTATCACTATGTCTGTTTATAGATCGGAAAACTGTGTCTCTTTCCAAGTAGCTGTTTGGCTTTCTCAGCAGGGCTCTTTTCCTCCATTATTATCCACAGCTGAGCTGCAGGCATCACTTGTTACTGTGTTTATCTGCCTTCTGGAAGGCAGTAGGGCGTCCTGGATTATCAGTTTTGCGCAATTTATTCTTTACAAAATATTTATTTTGAGGGGGAGATAATTTTGCAGATACGCAGTGCTTTAAAAAACCCCTTTTCTTCACGTAACACATTCTTCATGGTGCAGGGAAAATGAAGCTCATTTTCCATCAGAAGGGAAAACGAGTGTGGAGCTGGCTCTGGGATGAGCATGACCATTGCCAGGTGCATCTCAGAATGGAAAGGCAGAGCAAATGCTGAGATGGGAGCTCTGGGCCTTTATATCATATCACAGGATGGTGGCTTTCACTCATTAGAGAACATGGTAAGCACTCTCTACCTAGGGTTTCTGTAACACAGGATTTTGCAACTGATTTCAGAGAGATCCATGTGCTGTCTATGGAGCAGGATTTAAGAACCATGGTCTAGAGGAGTTTCTGCCTTCCCTACATGAAATCTTCCCTCTCCGTTGCCTTTCCCATCACACATATGTCCCAATTTCAGGGCACTAAAAGTGTAGTTTTGGTTAGGGGGCATTTTAGGCAGCAAAATACAGTCAGAAAATTGGAGCTTTGTATTCCTTGATGATATGAGTTGGGACCAAGTAGACCTGAGCTCAAGATCCAGAGCGGTAGTGGTGGTCAGACCCTTTGAAAGAGAGGATAGGGCTAGGGATTTAACTCAGTGGTGCCACTGCCTGACTCGTAAGCGCAAGGTCCTGAGTTCGATCCCTGGTACCCACCCCCATACAAAAAACAAAAGAAAGAGAGGACAGAAGTCAGGCGAGAAGACCAAACTGCAGGTTAACTGGGTCTCAAGTCTCTAGGTAGAAAGAGATCTGCTGATGACATTCTTGAAACACTGTGTCTAACCATATTCTTTTAAAAAATACTGTGACTGACTTTTGACATGCCAAAGAATATCCCATGTCAAAGGGGTTTTTCTGTAAGCAAAGGACCTGCCAGAAACAACCTGAAAAAGTAATGAGAATACACTTGACCAGGGATAAGCCTAATGTACAAATTCCCTTTGGGAAAAGGACTACGGTTCTTGCTATCTAAATTTTAATCATGCCTTCATTTACAATCCCTACTGCAGAGCGTCAAATGGCAAAGGAAAAGATGTCAAGAGAAAATAATCATATAGAGAGGAACTTTCTCTTAAAAGGTAATGTGTATCCACAACTGTCTCAACAATCCCTACACACATCCTTGATGACGCCTCAACGATAGGTCTCTCCAGTTAGTTGTTCATGGGCATTCACTTAAAATATCACCAGCAAAGCTCAGCATAGTTATGCACAGGCATTTCTGAATTTCTTTTTATCTCTGTCTGAATTGTTGTTTTGCAGGTATGTAATCAGCCAACTTCGGATCAGCTTTTCAACCTCCCTTCCTATTACATTTTACACAAATATCTGGAATGAACAGGAAACTCCAGTATTGTGTACGTGCTTGTACTCTGTATTGCAAAGATCCGATTTCCACTAATCAGATTTACCTAGAAATTACAATCCTAAAGAATTTGTAAAGATGAAGACATTTTTAGAATGAATCAGTGGTTCCTTTCTGAAATTTTAGAACTGAATAAGAGGCATGAGCACTTTATCCTAGTGGCATGTGGAAAACTGTTTAAGATGACCAGAAACTATCCCCAATTAGCAAAGTGGTGAGAAAGCAGTTTGATATGGGTTGGAAACTAAGAAATAGTATTTGAGATGGGAATGGAGATCTCAGATGTTTCCTGTGCTCTGTTCCATTTCAGGAAGAAAAAAAAAGTTTCTATTTGTCACTGTGAGATGTTGACAACAGCTGATTAACATAAGGAGGAATTTATTGATTTATACAAAACTCCTTTACTGGATAAACAGTTTAGAATATGTTGTTGGTCTCATGCATGATTTCATATCAGACAGCCAAAATAATGTCATTTCCCAAACACTACATGCTTTTTTGTTAATCACTAAAGAAATGTTGTGTGTGTACCAGTGGAAGATTTTATGTGAAAGATACTCTGTTTCTTAATTTAGACCACCATTTACATTAGCCAATCTCTTCAAATCTCAGTCACAGACTTTTATTTTAAAGGTCTGTGAACAAAAAGGAAACACCATAATTTGAAATAGCTTAGCTCCCTCAGCTAACCAGGAGAAAAAGGTCCTTGCTGTTTTAGTTTTAAAGCTAACAAATTGGAATTAAAAGGCAAAGTAATTTCTTTATTTAGTGCAGCGATGGGGACCTTGTGCATGCTAGGCAAGCCCTCAACCAATGAGCTACTCCCACCTGCTAAATATTTATGATGTCTTCATATTTCTCTCCTGAAACTTTGGGTTCCTCTTCTCATATGTTACCCCTGAAACAAGAGTCTTCTCTGGGCACGGTAGTTGGTACACAGTCTCAGCCCTTCCACTGCCGGGCTTTGACTCCCAGCCCCACCCTCACCAGCTGTGGGACCTAGGGGAAGTTATCTTGTCTCATCTGTACAGTAGAAATCATGCTATTATTTATTTTATAGGTCATTGTGAAGATGATGAGTTACTATAAAGTCAGAGCTCAAAAACCTTATTCTTTTTTGGAGGGTCATTGATAAAAATGATACAAGAGGTTAAATGACTTCATTTCCAGGGAATTTTTTTTCCCCACTTTGAGTTTTACTTCCCTAACTTTGCAGGCCCTAGTGGAAGGGAAGCAGTGATTCCACTCTGTCCATACCCTAGGGCAGTGGCTGACGTTACTAGTTCTAGGTTCTCTAAACCTCCCAGTCTCCTCCAATGCTAGGGTGCTATGGAATAGACTGGAGTCCCACCGGGTACAGATGTATGCACTCTCCCTTGCTGGTCAGTGGTTTGGTCCACTTTTGATGGACACAGACAGCAGTGCTTGTTACTCTAAGGGATGAATGGGAAGACAGGGTACATTACTACTGTGTTTTTGTATTTTCCGGGATATAAGGAAGAAAGTTAGTTGGAACATCTCAAGTAGTTCTACTTATTTGAATTGATATAGTGTAAATTGGGTTGACTCAAATATATAATTAGCTTCATCCATTTCTTTTTACTTTTGTTATGTGGCTTCGAGAAAAATTTAAAAATTGACTTGCAGCTCACATTGTATTTCTGTTGGACTGTGTGCACTGTGTTGGAGAAACAGGAGAGTTTCTGAAGTCAATCATAAGCCTTTGCCTGTCTTACAATGCCCCTGGGTAGGACATATGCAAACGATTCCTCCCTCACGTGGGAGATTGGTGTAGACCACTTCTGACCACAATTTTAGTGTGGGTCAAGGAGAACAAATGGACTTGGGGGTAAAAGCACCCCTTAGGGCAAATGCCAAGCATTCTAAAATAGAAGAATGTATGAATTGAACGGTAGTCACAGATTTTGAATGGTTGCATTAGCCCTTAAGAAATACACAGAGTACTGCAGTACTTCCTAAAGTGTAAAAGGTTATGCAAGAGAAAGATACTAACAATTATTGCCAAGGATCTATTGACAAAATAAAGTGAGTCAATGGCCAATGCAGATTTCCTTATTAAGATATGATTTCAACTTTCTCCTTTATGCCTACTGGATTATCTATAGTTCATCTGGCTGCTATGTCATGATAATCATAAGACAAGAAGTCAGCTTGGCTGGCTGATTTTGAACATATGAGGATTTTTCTCTTGCTCTCTGGGAATCTTTGCAACAAATACAGAAGCAAACATTGAAAGTGTTTTGCTGGTAGTTAAAGGGTGGTTCAGTGGAGCTAAACTTCATAAACCTCAACTAGCCCCCCAAGCCAAAAATAGGCACTCTAAGTAATAAATAGGCACTCACAGCTTCAAAGCACGAGGGCCTAATATATCAAATATATATTATATATTTAAAAACCAACATACAGGAATGACAAAGTCTTCACGATAAAGGCAATATTTACAGGAAACCATGGGAACCCGTTGAAAGTCACTGCCTTTATTTGTAAGAATATGGTTTATGTAGTGGGCCAATCATGGGCAAGGGGAGACCTTTTTCTTTCTGCTTGCCTCCTCTAAATGGCATATGAAAGGGAGTAACAGTCCTTTTTACAAGAGTGCGGTCATGGATGAGCCCATTTCTAGGCCATTTACATAGCTGTAGGTGGGGATGTTTTCATATATACATTCATAAGTGGCAGACAAAACTCCAAGAGCTGGCATCCTAGTTTCTACCAGCCTGACAGGCACTCCCCTATTTGGTGTGTTTAAGTCCCTCCAGTTGGATTCTATTGTTTGAAGGAACTTGAAACACTTTCTTTCATAGGCAAGTGCTCCATCCTAGTCCCAACCCCAAAAGTTGAGTTGGCCCCTAACGTACTTAAAAGCTCCTATTGTAAAATGAAAGCACAGAAGCCCTGTTGGTTTCTATATCATGTTTTTCTAGCACAGATTCTTGCTCAGGGTGGAATGGAGGTGCCATCTCCTACTTTATTATTTAAGAGGGTGCCCCACTCAGTGGAACTTATGGATTCAGGCCAGCTCTGGCCCTGACAGAAGATGGGGTAGAAATGAGCGGACAGTGAGGACCAGGGCAAAGAGAACAGAGCTGAGGTGGGATCACATCTGGACTTTTAGGACCACGTTCCTTTCCCACCTGAGGAGGAGTCAGTGAGGATAATCAGAAGGAAGCAAGGGGGCCAGGATAAAGTTATTCCCCAGCTTCTCTGCACGTAGGACCTACGAAGGCCAGGCACCTTGTCTTTCTTCACAAACTCCCAGTCTTCTGCTCTCTGCTAGAGGTCAGAACAGGCTTGGACACCTCAGGCTGTACTGAACCTTTAGGAGGTTTGAACTCAGCATAGGAGAACTGCCTGAGCAGGTTGCTCAAAGGGGCAGCATCCAGTGCCCTTCAGTTCTCCCTTCCGTGAGATGGACCGGCGGTTCTGTGTGGAGCTTTGAGCTCGTAAAGTGCACAACCATAAAAGGAAGCACACCTGTGCACATTCCTGACCGGGACATCCGTGGATATTTCCTAAGAGTTTACAAATCCTCCTGATGAAGGACTGCGGAAGCTTACAGGGGGTTCCTCTGTCGTTCTTTCCCTCTCTTCGCCATTATGCAGGCATCAGGAATTTCCGTGGCCACAAACAGTTACACTCAGACATGTAAACTGGGAAACAGTACACTAGATGCTTGAACTTTAAAGACAAATAATGAGCACTCTGAACTTCTGCAGCAAGGAGCCTCTGCATCTGGGTGCATTTTCAATGGCGGGTGGAATGCTTCGGGGAAGGAGCCAAGGAAGAGAGCGAGGAGAGCCGATCCCGACAGGTGGGGAGTACGGAGGCAAACTGGCTCAGGGTGGCCGCGCTGTAACAATGACAGCCATCCGGAGGTGGCCCAGGCTGCCTCCTTTCGCGGTTCCTGGACAGGCTAGCCAGAGTGCGCAGGTACAGCGGACAAGAGCTTGAGACTCCAGTGAGGGGCCTGGGCGGGCATCGCAAAGGGCCAAGGCTCTCTCCAGCCGTACTGTAGCACTGTACGAGAATCACTAGCTTGGCGACGCCCCTGTGCCAGGGGAGGAAGGAAGCGGGGTGAAGGTAAGAAGCGAGAGGGCAAGGCTATCTCTAGAGCGTTAAAATTAGGACATGCTTTTTCAGTTGCTAGAAGTTTGTAGGGCAGACGGAAGGAAGCGCTGGAGTGAAAGAGAAGAGCAGAGAAGGCTGCACAGAGACCAGGGAAGGGCGGATTTGGACTCACCGTGAAGGGCAGGGAGCAGACGGCGAAGGTGATGGTCATGATGGCCAGGAGGATGAGGTGGTCCGCCTCCTCCGCCACGGACAGCCGCTCCGCTCTCCTGCGGGGCCCCGGGCCGCAGCTCGAGGACGAGGGTCCGCAGCGGCTCCTCCGGCCTCGGCGGTGCATGCGGACGAGGTTGAGGATGACACTGAAGTTGCAGGCGAGCACCGCCACGATGAGCAGCAGCAGGACGGTGGCGTAGAGCTGCAGGTAAGCCGTGCGCCCGTGGCGCATGAAGCACCAGGTGCCGGGGCAGTACTGGACGTACTGGCCGTAGCCGAGCAGCGGCAGGGAGCACAGCAGCAGGGCCGCGGCGTAGATGGCCGGGAGCACGGCCAGGCCCCCGCGGCGCGAGAAGCGGCGCTGATAGAAGTAGGGGTGGCCGATGGCGAAGTAGCGCTCCAGGGCCATGGCGAAGAGCATGAGCATCGTGGCCAGGCTGAAGAAGGTCATGGTGAAGGCGAAGTAGGTGCACGCGCGGCTGTCGGGCCCCAGGGCCACCAGCGTCTGGTTCCGCGCGTACGAAGCCAGCACCACCGGGCTGATGAGGCAGGTCCCGAGTAGGTCGGTGAACACCAGCTCAGTCACCAGCACGTGGAACAAGGACACGGCGCCGCGGC